GCCCACTTCCCCCCAACCCAATCCACGGACACCGCAGCCCAACAACCCAACCCGGCACCCAATACTCACCCAATGCAAACACGCTCCAAAGCCGTTGTCTTTTGTCCTAAACAAATTCTCAATCTTAACACCTCCGTCACCATCTCCCCGTTACCTCCAACCTACCGTAGTGCACTAAAAGATCCAAACTGGCATGCTGCTATGTGTGATGAATATAATGCCTTGATAAAGAATGACACATGGGAATTAGTACCCCCCCTCCCCCTCACAAAACCTCATCACCGGTAAATGGCTCTTTAGACATAAATTTGGCCCAACCGGTGAGTTATCCAGGTACAAGGCTCGCTGGGTGGTTCGTGGTTTCAACCAACGTTTTGGCGTTGATTATGACGAGGCTTTCAGCCCCGTTGTCAAGCCTGCCACTGTTCGTGTTGTCCTCAGTCTTGCTCTGTCTCGAGGTTGGCCCATTCATCAGCTTGATGTCAAGAATGTGTTCCTTCATGGCCAGCTGCAGGAGACCGTCTATGCCTATCAGCCTTCTGGGTTTCAGGATCCCACTCGCCCTCACTATGTGTGCAAGCTCAAAAAGGCTCTATATGGTCTCAAGCAAGCACCCCGATCATGGTTTCACAGGTTTGCTGGCTTCATACAGACTATTGGGTTTAGAGGATGTAAGGCCGACACTTCTTTATTTGTCTTCTCTCAGCCCATGGGCACGACCTATCTACTACTTTATGTGGATGATATAGTTCTCACAGCATCCTCGCCAGCACTACTACAGAGTCTCATTCAGCAGCTCAAGGCTTAGTTCTCCATGACAAATATGGGCGATCTGCACTTTTTCCTCGGGATTAATGTTCACCGCACAGATTCTGGCCTCTTCCTCCACCAGACTCAGTTCGCGCACGACATCCTTGAGAGGGCAGGGATGGTTTCTTGTCGGCCCATCTCAACCCCGGTGGATACAAAGGCGAAGCTGTCTGCGTCAGCTGGCACGACGCTCTCCGACCCCTCCCTTTACCGATCCATTCACTCGTCCAGACATCACATATGCAGTCCAGCAGCTCTGCCTACACCTCCATGCCCCACACGACGCCCACTTTACAGCCATGAAGCGTGTTCTCCGGTATCTCAGTGGCACTGCCACTCATGGCATTTACTTGACAAGATCCGCCACCGACTATCTACAGGCTTATTCAGACGCTGATTAGGCTGGCTATCCTGATACCAGACGTTCTACTTCGGGCTACTGCGTTTTCCTCGGCGACAACCTTGTCTCATGGTCGTCTAAGCGCCAGGCCACTACTTCTCGCTCCAGCGCCGAGGCGGAATACCGGGCTGTAGCGAATGCTGTTGCTGAAACCAGCTGGATCCGAAACCTTCTCCTTGAGCTCCAGCAGCCACTCCGTCGCGCCACACTTGTCTTTTGTGATAATGTGAGTGCGGTCTACCTTTCGTCAAACCCGGTGCAGCATCAGCGCACCAAGCACGTCGAGGTTGACATACACTTTGTGCGTGATAAGGTGGCGCTCGGTCAGATCAAAGTCCTGCATGTTCCGTCATCTTCTCAGCTTGCTGATATCTTCACAAAGGGACTGCCCTCACAGTTATTTCTTGACTTCAGAGAAAGCCTGGGTATCCGACCCCCAGCACTGCTGACGTAGCCGGGAGCATGTTAACTATATATAATATATTTAATATTATTATATTATTATTGTTACCATATTTGTATAGGTTTCCTAGATTGTCTCTCATACCTTAATTAGGATTGAGACTTTTGTATATATACATGTACTCTCCTCACAATTTAATCAATGAAAATAATTCTTCTTCATCCCTGACTTTGGAAGGTACCGCAGGTAGTGCTTCCCAAATGCTGTTGTTCTAGAATGGATCAAGATTGCCGTGATGCTTTATGTGTCTACTAATGTAATTTGCATGTCATGTCTTTGGATATATTTGATGAGTTCAACTTTTAGAACCAATTAGTGTGTTTCTGAAGCTGCATTTGGATCTTATTATAGGTATCAGATAGTTTATGAATAACCCTATCTTGTTTAGTTTGTGGTTTTTGCTCGACTTTGGCCTTGATTACTACTTATAGGTGCACTATGGTATTAGTAATCTCAAGAACATACTCCCTCCGTCCCAAAAAGAAATTCTTACTTTGATTAACGTGCAAAACCCCGTGAATTTTAAAATAATTTTATTTGCAAATTGGTAAGGAAATAAGACATAAAAAAATTATATTTAAAAACTACATCGGAAACTCTAAAAGATAAGAGGTGACAAGAATATTTTATTTTGTGAAATGATCAATGAAAACACGTAAACAAATTAGAGTTATCGAGAAGCCGTAATAGTAAATAGGAAAGATTTTTTGGGACGGAGGGAGTATATGGTTTGCTGCCATGCTTCATTTGGTTTTGGTTTTTGTTTTTTATTCATTTTACATTACAAATAGTTGATAATTTTTGAGATAATAGTTTCAAATGATTTGGTTTTAGGATAACATAAAAGTTTTTATGTTTTAGAAATTGAAACCAAATGACCCCCCTTAGGGAAAATTTGATATGACCCACATTATATCATTTATATTTAAGCTAAAAAAATCAATAGTTTAATTTTATTCTGATAATCTCTTGAATTGCATGAATGAAGTAACTAAGGACTTATGAATGAAATGAAGTAATTAAAATGAAGTGTCTAATAAATACGGAGTACTACATAGTAATTAATACTCCCTCCGTCCGGAAAAGAACTTCCTATTCTACGCTTTTCTCCGTCCGAAAAAGAAGTTTCCATTGTACGTTTTCATACACAATCTTCCTAAATTACCCCTCCCTCCTCATCCTTCCGAATAACATTAGTGGTCTCATCAGCTGCACTGTCTCCATCATTGCATATCAAAATTTTCTGGCGAGAGCGACTCCTAACCCTGGATATGGCAACATACAATTGTCCATGACTAAACACCATTTTTTAAAATAACACAACAACCATAGAAAAAGATTGTCCTTGACTCTTGTTTATGGTCATTGTATATGAAACCATAATAGTAAATTGTTTTTTCTGAAACTTAAAAGGCAATCTTGTATTAGACGGTGTTAAAGAAATTCTAGGTAGTAATATCTTTTCACCATCACTATTTCCAGTTATAACCTTTGCTTCTAGAACTCGATCCCCAAGCCTCGTTACTTTAATGTGTTTTTTTGTGATCTACCAACTTTTTTTAAAAACATAAAACTTTATAAAATTTTAATGTGTTTGTAACAAATTACTCGTATATTTTTTTTAAAGTGTGTTTTTTTTGTTTTTTTTTAAAATTAAAATCCTATATCATTCAAATAACAAATAGAATAACATACACCAGGTTATAATATTGTATTTTTTATTATCATATTTTTCTAAAATAATTTTTTAAAAAATATTTCTATAAAAAGGTTAATGTTAAAGAGTGAAATATGAAGTCCTTTTTTCTGAATGTTTAAACCAAACTGTTAAATGTCTGAAATTAGTTTCTTCACATATTAATTTCACCCGCACATTTAAATGACTTAAATGTTAAATAAATCGTTTGTACATATTCATAACACCTGCATTATCTCTAGAGTGAAGTTAAGATTATTTTTTGAATGACCGGATAAAATTGATAGGATTAAGTTATTTGTACCCCACTTTGTACCCCGCAGGTTTGCACTAACATTTTTGTGTTGGTGTAAAAATAATTTTTGTTAACGCACCAACACTTTGTGTCCGTGTAAATTTTTGTCAATGCACCAACGTTTGTGTCGGTGTAAACCATCAAAATGTTTGTGCACAACTGTGGTGTACAAATAGAGTACATTTTTTAGCGTAAGTGTAGCATGGTTGAAATTGATAACTTGTGGTAGAGGTAGTGCTATGGTTGGAACACACTCAAGGTAGCAGTGGATCTCATGATGTTCCCCCATTAAATTCTAAACCCTATCCATCAATTGATGCTAACGACACCCTCCACCTTCTACATATTCCTCGAGTTAGTTGCAACTCTGCAAGGAAAGCCTAGGTTGGCGCCGGTTATTTACCTATTTCTCTAAGGTTGTACATGGATAAGCATGATCATCTTCTTCCGTTTTAACATGTTGTTTACAGAGTACTTTTGCGGCAGTTTGATGTACAAGCGAAGCTTGTGTAGTTTTGTCATCTCCTGTGATGGACGGTCAGATTTGTCAATTACGGATGAAATTGGACCGTCCGATTGCAGAGAAAATTGTATGGAATTTGCACTCAATTTTGATTCTTCTTTTATATACTCCCTTCGTTCCTAAATAGATTACGATTTTTTTTCTCTACTCTCGATAACTTTTGTTTGTTTACGCGATTTCATTAAGTATTTGATAAAATAAAATATTCTTGTCACCTCCTGTTTTGTAGAATTTTTGACGTAGTTTTTTAATATGTAATTTTTATATTTTATTGATATACCAATTTGTAAATAAAATGATTTCAAAAAGTAAGAAATTTTACTCCGTAACCCGCAATTTGTAATCAAATTGGGGACAGAGGGAGTATATAATAGATTATCATTACAATTTTCAAATATTATTATAAAGTCAAAGGTGGCTGGTGGAGTGTTAGTTGAGAATGCCAAAGTGGCTAAGCGCTGGGGGGAGTACTTTAGTGAACTCTTAAATGCGGGAGGAGACCAGAGGCTAGTTCTTGATGAGTTGGGACAGCCTGGGGCATCTCGTGTGCATTGCCGGTGCATTTCCTGGAAGAGGTGGTTCGGGCTCTCCGCGGGATGCGTAGTGGGAGAGCTTTGGGACCAGATGAGATTCCGGTGGAGTTTTGGAAGCATGCAGGTCGTGGTGCACGGGTTTGGTTAACCAAACTCTTCAATGTTATCCTCCGGACAGTATGGATGCCTGATGAGTGGAGGGAAAGTCTCTTGGTCCCTCTGTTTAAAGGGAAATGTGACATTGAGAGCTGCGAGAATTACAGAGGCATCAAACTGCTTAGCCACACCATGAAAGTTTGGGAGCGAATCATTGAGTATAGAGTGCGGAAAGGGGTTTGCATCTCTGAGAACCAGTTTGGTTTCATGCCTGGCAAATCAACTACAGAGGCCATTCATCTCGTGAGGAGGTGAATGGAAGAGTATAGGGCTAGGAAGAAGGACCTTCATATGGTGTTTATTGACCTTGAGAAGGCGTATGATAGGGTGCCAAGGGAGGTCTTATGGAGGTGCCTTGAGGCGAGAGGAGTTCCCATCGTATACACTCGCGCGATCAAGGATATGTACGATGGGGCTATGACCAAGGTAAGGACTTCTGGGGGCGACTCAGATTCTTTCTCGGTAGGGATGGGGTCGCACCAGGGGTCTGCCCTTAGCCCTTTTTTGTTCGCCTTGGTGATGGACGTCCTAACTCAAGGTGTTCAAGACGGAGTCCCATAGTGCATGCTTTTCGCGGATGATATTGTGCTTATCGACGACACACGTGAGGGACTAAACGATAAGTTGGAATTATGGCGCCTTGCCCTTGAGACTAAAGGATTCAGAATAAGTAGGAACAAGACTGAATACATGGAGTGTCGTTTCAGTGGCCGGGATACAGAATCAGAGGTGGAAGTCAGGATTGACTCTCACCTAGTACCTAAGGTAGACAGGTTTCGATATCTTGGTTCGGTAATCCAGGCGGATGGGGAGTTAGATGCAGATGTTGGACATCGTGTTGGAGTGGCTTGGGCCAAATGGCGGTTAGCTTCAGGGGTGTTGTGTGATCCGAAGATTTCGCCTAGAATGAAAGGTAAATCCTATCGATCCGTAGTCAGACCTTCTATGTTATATGGGGCAGAGTGTTGGGCGGTTAAGAAGACTCATGTGTGTCGTCTGCATGCGGCGGAGATGCGGATGTTACGATGGATTTGTGGGAAGACAAGGTTGGATAGAATTTCGAACGAAGTTATCTGACGTCAGGTAGGCATGGCACCGGTGGAAGATAAGTTGCGGGAAGCGAGGTTGAGATGGTTTGGCTATGTAAGATGGCAGGATGCTGACGCCCCTGTACGGAGATGCGAGAGGATTACAGTTATCGGGGGAAGTAGGGAAAGGTGTAGACCTATGAAGAATTGGAAGGAGGTGATTAGGCAGGATTTAGGACTTCTCGACCTGACTGAGGATATGACTCTAGATAGGAACCTTTGGAAAACTAGAATTAGAGTAGCTGGATAGGAGCTCGGTGTTGTAGAGGTTGTTTTGTAGTGTGTTGTATTTGTTTGGAATCTTTTGTTATTGCTTGTACTTGTTGCTTGTACTTGGTGCTTTATCTGTGTTATACTGTGTTCCCTTCCATATTTTTGTGCAGGTGGAGCCGGGGGTCTCTTGGAAACAGCCTCCCTACTCCCGAGTAGGGGCAAGGTCTGCGTACACACACCCTCCCCAGACCCTACTGTTGTGGGATTCACCTGGGTTGTTGTTGTTGTTGTTGTTATAAAGTCAAATCAAATTATTGACTTGAATTTTAAATCAAATCATAATTAATTAGATTAGACTAGACCAGATCAGATCCAATCAGATCAGATTAGAACTTATTAAAATCAAATCAGGTCAGAAAAAATAAGTTGAACGGAACGGAGCCTTAGTGGCTATTAAAATTAGGGTCATGACTAAAAAAAAATTCTTTAGAAATTCATTCTAACATTAAGTATTAAAAGTCAACGAATATACAAGATTGAACAGTACATGTATAGTGACTATTTAGTAAGCTTGCTAAAAAAATTTAAGAGCTAGGCACGTTGATTCACAAAAGGAGATATTCCCTCCCTCCCAATTTGATTACAATTTTTTTCTGTATCGTTCTCTCGATAATTTTTGTTTATTTACACGATTTCATTAAGTATTTAATAAAATAAAATAATTTGGTCACCTCTTGTGTGCAAGGTTTTCCCCTCACAACGACACATGATGCAACATAAGTATGTTGTCATTGTGGCGCACAATTTTGGTATGTAGAGCGCCTTTCTACAAGTCGTAAAAAACATAGTCTCATATATTCTAGTTGTTGTGGTAGGGGTAATGGTGTTCTGCCAAAACTATTAACACCACCTCAAATGTTGGTGGACCTTTACTTTGGCAATGATACAAAAGGCAAACATTTTAGACAAAATATTCGGGCATACAATAATATGTTCTGTTAATACATATGTAACCATACCCTGTTTTTCCAATGCTTTTATAATTAAAAAAATTAAAAGTAAAATTTCACCAAATTAAATATTAACTCCTATTTTTTCACATTACTAATATTAACATATCTAAAAGAGTTGATATTCAAATAAACTTTCCCGTGCATCGCACGGGTGAAGTACTAGTTTTCATTTAGAGGCAGAAATATTACTCTCTTTTAATTTAATCTTTTTTTTTGTTGTATACATAGAGGGTGGGGGATTCTTTTGCCTCTAATTCGATTCTTTTTTTAAAAGAAATTAGATTTTTATGTTCACCGCTATTTTTTCTTTAAATTTTATCTCCTGGTTATGCAATTGAAATTTATTTCAATTAGCAAAAAAATTAGCGGTGAAAATATTACCCGCTAATGAAAATTTGAAATAGAGGATGAATAATCCTCCTCTACTTTGCAGCTAATTAGAGGCAGAAAAATCCCCACTACTTTTCTGCAGCTTATACGTGAGATTTTAGTAGTAGATCTACTTTTCTAGTTTTTGCTATTCAAGTTGGACATTTTCGACATCCATGTTCCAATTTGAGGGGGAGTATTGGAATATATTTTATATATATTCTTTTATTTATTTGTTTCTTGTAGAATTGTATTTTCTTATATAGTTTTGCTAACTCCTGTACTATTTATATGATGTGTTGTATCAATGAAAAACAACCTCAAGTCAATTCCGAAATTTTACAAATCTCTTATTGGGCTAGTCAAAATTAAACTAATCACTTTGTTTAAAAATCAAAAGAGAACGTCAGTACACGTAATTTACAGAATTGAATTGAATTGAGAGTTTGAATTGTATTGAACTGAGTTGGATGAAATTGAATTCTTCAATTTTAATTTATTTTTGGCAATACTAATTATAAATCTTCATATTTTTGTGCTACCTAACAGCATAATTGAAATTAGTGTCTCTAATTCGAGTTACATAGGTTTGAATTTGGAACTAGGGATTGCCGCAAATCAGTATGTAGTAATTAAAATGGAAAAATAGAAATACGACTCGATGACATAAATGGGAGGCGAACATGCTTTCTTAATTGACACGCATGACACAAGGAATGTTGAAATTGTTTATTGAGACAATGTGATAAACTGGGAACTCCACGAAGGACGGCATGTCTTGGGTGGCCCAAACGCCGGTGCCAGAGCTCTAGATCAGCGGTGACAGCATGGGCTTGGGCCTGGGTAGCTGGTGGGCTCATGGGGTAGAGTGGACCGGCATCATTGGACTGATGAATCACGGACCCTGTCTGCATATCCTTCACAGAAAAACCAGTAGGGTCAAATTCAACGGTACAACTATTGTCGCGGGTGAATTGTCTAACAGAGATAAGGTTATGGATAATATGGGGGGATACCAGGATATTATGTAGGGACAAGGAGGGGAAAGTAGGGAAGTGATAATTACCGGTAGCCGTAATACGAACTTTAGAACCATTACCAACTGTAACGCCCTGGAAACCGGCTTAGTAGTTAGCCGTTAGTTTAATAAAAATAAATATATTATTTATTAACTTCAAAATATGAATTATTTGTAAGTTGACCATTTTAATTAAAAATTAGGTTTTCGGGTAGATCTTGTAAAATGGTGACCAACGATATATAGTTTATTAAATTTAGATATACGAATAAACCGTGATGAATAAAATAGACGTTGTAGTGCAATCAATAAATAAAAGGATTTTTATAATATAATAATATTATATTATCAAACCCATTACTCTTAATCCTTGGCCGCACTCTTTAAATACGGAATATATACTGCGCCTCGCATTCCCATCTCAATTGGGCATCACGACTCTTCTTCTTCTCCATTGGCGACAAAACCAAGGGAGTTTGTCGATCAAGCAACCTGAGACGTCGCCGGAAAAGAGGACTTCGCCGGAGCTTCCACCGGAATCTAGGTGGGGATTATTTGTGATTTCTTCATCAATTCCATTGAGGTGAGTGATTTATCTCTCGTTAAGATTGATTCATAGATTAGGATTTGTTAATATGTTTTCATTCAATTGTCGTTGAATTCGTGAATGTGATTATTGGATGGTTTGATTGGCTATGTTGAATTTGGAATTTGGTTAAAATTTGGGAATTCGGATTATTGATCGGAACTCTGCAAGTCTAGCCGTCTCTGTTCTTTCTCTTCTTCCGCCCTGTCCTGTTTTTCTATTGCATGTTCTTCCTGCTTTATTGCGCGTTCTTTTCTGCCCTATTTTGTTTGGCCGCCGATGGGGAGTTCGTCCTGGTCGCCGCCGGTTTTCACCGTTAGAGTACGCTGCTACTGATTTCTGGCACAGGAGGGTTTTCAGAACAAGAGTTTTAGTTTTTTTAAAAAAAATTGCAAATTGGCCCGGGATCTCTAAATAGTTTACAATTTGGTCCTACTTCGTACTTTGACCGTAATTAAGTCCATTATTTATAAAATAATGAATTGGTAATAAATTGTATATTGAATAGAATTGTGAAATATGTCACCTAGTGTATGTATCCAGTCAAATCTTAGTTGAGTTGTGAATTAGAAATAAGTAATCAGATTGACATTAGAAGCAAGGTCACGCGGGTGACGTCGTTCATCCGGTGGTCTCGAGGGTTAAAAACGTGTGCACGGTGGTCATTGACCTCTGGCGAGAGCTAGCGGGGGCCTCAACCCCCTCCATTGCGAGAGCTTTGGAGTTATGAGTGTGGGTTTGGGCGAGAGCCTGGATTCCATTACTCCCGTAAGTATGAATTGGATTATATCTAGCAGGGAGATGGAGTAAGAATGCATAAAAATTAAACTGAATCATAAGGGTATATAGTGGTACAGTTGGATAATGATATTTGCTGATTCTTCTGATATTGTTTGATTATATATTGACGGGTGCTAGTCTATGAGTTAGTTTCAGCGTTAGATACTTCCACTCTCCCTATTTTTACAGGTAGGGATCAAGGATTTGATGAGGAGCAGCCTGAAGGACAGTGAAGCGTGACGTCAGTGGATGACCGAAGCTGTTATATTTTAATTAAATAAGTTTGTTGGATTTATTTTTTTAAATTACCAGAATGTTGAATGTTGTTTTTTTAAAGGCTTCCGCAACGTTTCAGTTATTTACTCCGATTAAATGATAGATTGTTTTCAATAAATATGAATGTTTGTTTTATTTCCAAATGTTTTTAAAATATTGTGCATGTGAATACCAAATTAGTGACAACCCGATTCGCTAACTCGTCGGTTCGGGTTACACGGGTTGGGGTGTTACACCAACAGTGATGTATGAAGATGAATTTAAAGAATGAGAACGAACATGAGAAAGTGAACCTGTGTCAGAGGCTATGTGATGGGATGCTCCCGTGTCCATGCGCCATGTAGGGTCACGGAGGCTGAGGATGTCAAAATTGTGGACAAGGGCGGTGGGNGGGCCGAGAAGACCGGGAATTCGATCCAGAGCTTCGACCTCGGGTAGGGTAAAATAGGCTTGGGGTAGGGTAAAATAGGCTTGGGGTTCGGTGTCTGCCAGGGCTGTCCGTGGGTGGAGCGGGGATTCGATCCAGAGCTTCGACCTCGACCGCGGTTGCGGTGACCGCCACGGCCACGTCCACTGCCGCCGTTGTGTTGTGCTGTCCCTGGCCGCTGCTGCTGCTGTGGGGCCCGCGGCTTCCGCCGGCGAGGTTGTGAAGGATGGCGCCAGGGCTGCCGGCCGAGAGAAGGGCCGTGCCGGCCGAGAGAAGGGCCGTGCCGGTGGGAAAGTCGGCATCCAAGTCTGATCTTTGACGTTCTAAGAGGAGGAGGGCTGAGCGGGTTTGAAGGAACATCGGAGGCGGTGTTTGAAACTGCAGGAAAGACGTTTGATTCCGCATGTCATCCGGCAGCCCCCGAAGAACTTGTAGCACAAGTTGTTCCGAGATGGGGGCATCTACGTCGTCTAACCAATCGGTGATGTTCTTAAGGGTTTGACAATATGCCGAGATGGACAGAGAGCCTTTCCTCGTGGTCTGGAATTGATGTTCCAACTGCATGGCTTGGGCGGGTTTGTTATCATGGAAGAGAGAGTGAATGGATCGCCAAAGTTCCGCGACCGAGTCGGTGGAGGAGATCACGAGATCGGAGACTTCATCATTGATTGTAGAAAGGATCCACCCTTGGAGAAGTGCATCAAGTTGATACCAATCGGCGTCGTCGGCATTAGACGGGGCTGATTTTCCGATGAGGAAGTCACCGAGGGAGAAACGACGTACCAAGAGAAGAAATAGGCGGCTCCACTTTTTGTACTTCGGCTCCGTAAAACTCAATAAGATCAGGACATGGAGCTTCACGTCAGAGATGGCCGTGAACGCCAAATGAGGAGTGGAGGCGGAGGAGGTAGACTTGTCGGAGGTTGCTTCTTTCTCAGACATGGTGGCGGCTGGATATGTGTACCAGGGAGACAGCCGCTGGGGAGGCAGGCGCTGTGGAGAAGCTGCACAGAGGAGAAGGGGCGCAGGTGGTGGCGCCACTAAGAGACTGAAGGAACGCCAGCGCTGGGGGAAGTCGAGGATGGCTGGCGGCGTTAGGGTTGGGTGGTGCGACAGAGAGCTGCGCACGAGAGAGAGAAAAATTTTAGGGTTTATGAAAGAGGCTCCGATACCATGAAGAATAATTGTTTTCTATATTGATCTTGTGGAGTCAAGCCCCGTATATATACAAAATCACATGTCTCCTAACTATGGTAGGATATGAACAAGGAAACCCTATACAAAGGAAACTACCATATATAAAGATATTAAATATACAATAATATAGTTAGTATAACTAACTGTACAACACCAGTTTGAGTTCTCCCTAGCGTTTTAGGGTTCTTTCTTTCGTCTCCCTAGCTTTTCTAGGGTTCTACTCGCCGATTTTTCTCTCGGATTGTGCTCTCATGGAAGGCAGCGATGTTGATGGTTTGAATCAAAGGGTGTCTGGGCTAGATCCGGAGGACGAGGTTGAGGGGCTCTCCTTTTTATCGGAGGGCGGGGCTCTTGTGCCGACGGTAGAGTTCCGAACTTAGACAATCGCGGGTCGGTTTCTCTCCAATAAGGTAATTAAATTTGATATTATGCAACGGGTTATGGCAGCGGCTTGGAAGCCGGCTCTGGGAGTTCGAATTGTCAATGAGGGAGAGGTGTTCCTGTTTCACTTCTATCATGTTAAGGACGCAACCCGAATCATCGAGGAGGGTCCGTGGTCTTTTAATAATGCTACGTTGGTCTGTAAACTCCTTGACGAAGGGGAGAAGGTTTTGGCTACTGATCTGAATTTTGCAGAGATGTGGGTTCAAGTTCATAATTTGCCCTTTGGTTATTCATCCCCGGCTATTTTAGAAGCTATTGGTAATTTTCTGGTTGGGTTTGTGAAGAATGATGTCAGTCCTATTCCTTAGACCCAGAGGCCCTATTTTAGGGTTCGGGTGGTGGTGGATGTGCACAGGCCACTTCGGCGTAAGATGAAGCTCACGAAAAGAGATGGGTCGGTTGTTTGGGTTCAATTCCAGTACCTGTTAGACAATGCGTGCAACTCTAGAGGGGGGGGG